AACAATCACAGAAGAACCGAACAAAGGAAGAACCGAACTAATGAAGAAAGGAAGGACCAAATGAATGAAGGATGGATTCATGGAGAGACTGAACAAGTGAAGGAAGGAAGGAATGAACAAACGAACAAATGAATAAATAAACAAAGCACCCAATGAAGGAAGGAACAAAATATGAATGAATGAGCGAACGAATAAAGGGAGGAACAAAGAAAGAAAGAAACAATGAATGAAAGAAGGAACGAATAAACGATTGTTTAATGGAAAGGAATGAACAAGCAAACAATAGAAGGAAAATTAGAAGAAACGAATAGAGGAAGATCACTAAATGCACTACAGAATGTTACGTTTACACATCCCTGCACAAACTGCACATCAACTTTTCACAGTGTAATACTCACTACTCTTGAGTACTTTTGAAATGTCTTCTTTTTACTCATACTTTGAGTAATATCTACAACAGATACTTTTACTCTACTTGCTCTACATTTTGGGGCAATTAATGGTACTTTTTTCTTCTTTCTTCAAAATATCTTCTTTTGTTTTTGTCTTCATTTGAAAAAAGAAAGTCATACAAATTTGGAACAAGTAAAGAATGAGTAGACAATCAAACTTTCAGTTTTGGGTGAACTATTCCTTTAACAGCAGGTTTTTTTTTTTTTTGAGGGGGGATCGGGGTGAAGTTATTCTTTCCTTTGGATGAACTGTTGCAGTCCAGTCCAGTTGTAGTCATGTCTGTTAACCAGTAGAGGGCAGTGTAGAATGTGGTGAAAATATTCATTTAACCTTAATATTACTAAAACATGTACTTTAAACATATGCATTAAATTAGAGTAAGTCCTGAGAGACTTCAATTTCTACTCAGAAGAGGAGAATAATAATGGCAGGAGGAACGCTCTAAAAGGAGCTGGGTGTCATTCGTGATAGCCTAAGCCTTAAAGCAAGAGGAAGAAGACAAAAACTGGTTTCTGGCTAGTCTCTGTCACACTGTGCAGCAACCAGTGTTCCTGTTTTACTGTCAGACCTGTTCTTTGCAAGGAATAAACATATAGTAACAGTCTAGCATTTGAGATCAGTAAGATTTTGGTAACAGATTACAACAGTACATGAATATTGATGTGTTATATGTAAATTAAACCTTACTATTTTGTGAACTAATAATGAGTTAATGTATGCGCTTATCATGAACTTTAACTACAACATGATTCACATGTGTGAAAAACAGCCTTAATTACTGGTTAGTACATGATTGTTTGTCAATTATTGTATTAATCACCACATTAGTTTATGCTTAATTAAACCACCATCATCTGTGAATATATGAAGAGTTCAGATGCAAAAACCTCTAAATGCCATTTGAAATCTTCTCTTAAAATGAGAGAATTTTTCTCATCTCAAATCTCATTTTTCTCAAACACAGGATGTTTATGTTCAGTTATTTAAGTTTAAAGTCAACAAAACAAACTTATTTGTCACTTTAAAAGTAAAATGACCAAGCCTACACACGAGTCGGAGAAAAATGCTAATCTTAGAAGAAAATATAAAATTTTCTTTTTTGCTCTAAACTCTTCATATAATTATGTCTGGACTTATGTCTGGATAATTTGATTAAAAAAAATAATAATTATGTGTTATAGCTTAAACTTCATAACGCAAAAACAACACGCATATTAATACAGCTGTTCTGTGTGCGTTCAATTAGTCGAGTGTTGACATTCTATTTTTTTTAATACAACTAGTTGAGTTAATAAATAAATAATCCAATCTAAAGGTTAGAAATAACAAAGTACCAAATATTTTCAATTCAGCCATTGAGTTAAACAAATAACTAAAGTTTTTTTTAGATTGTATGCATGTCCATCTAGTGCATTTACACTGAATAACAGTAGAAAAGTAGGTAACACTTTATTTTAAGGGTCCAAAATAATGCCTTAATTAAGGATTATTAACTATTAATTTGTTAACAATTAAGCAATTAGTTATAAGCACTAGTAATTAATGGTTAAAACACTCTTAAAATAGTGTTATCAGAAAGTGTTCTGTCAACAGTATAAACAGGAGCTCATGAGTAGGATGAGTTAATGGTGTTGTGACCCTCCAAGTAAAGTCATGACATAATTATACATTAACGGCTCATGGGTTCATGTTGGTTACAATTAGCTTAAACTTGAATGTTTTTTGTACTAACGAGTAATTAACGTGACTGTTATTTAAACATAAACTCTTGTGACTCATGCTGAAGTTAAAGTTATAGTTCATGATTAGCATGTGCCTTAACTCATTAAATAACAATAATAATTCAATATCAATAATAAAGTTTTATTTGGTTTACATATTAATACATCAATAATCATGCACTGTTAGTGTAAAGTGTTACCACAATTTTTTTTGTGTATTGAGCTCAGTAAGGCTACATTTATTTGATCAAAAATACAATAAACAATTCTGAAATATTATTAGCCTACAATTTTTTTAATAACTGTATGTGGTTTACATTTCAAATTATACCGAGTCTCTTTATTAAAAAATTGCCACAACAAAAGACAGGAAGTGCACTGTAATGATGGAATAAACTGCATGTGGTCAAACTGGTGTTGTATAAATACTCTGGCATGTAAACGGGATGTTCAAAAGAAAGAGGAAATCTCAGACGAGGAAATTACACTTACAGCTGAAACATAAGAGGAAAGACAAACAGCAGTTTTACAGCTGTTGGAGTCTGGCCAGCATGATTAAGGCTTCTGCTTGTTTAAATAAATTAATAAAAATAAATTATTTGTGGTGATTTATAAATGATAGTTTAGTAGAATCACTACATGACTTATCATACACTGTAAAAATTATATGATCAATAGTCATGATAGCATACGTTTTAGTTCATTGTTACTTTTTAAACTAAGTTAATCATGTTCTAACTTGATTTTATAAGTTATTAAGCTGTTTTAAGTACCTTAACATAATATGTTCAATGGACTCATCTCCTTTTCCATCTTTACAATTCGCGCGCAGGAGTCTTTCAAAATATCCTCGTTAGCACCAATCCTGACCTGCATTTTGTCAACCTGCTCGGCTAGAGTTGAAAGTGACAGTTCAATTTTGGACAAAGAACTTTGGCTGTCGGTTGTTTTCTTATTTATGTGAGATGTAAGTTCATCGTTAGAATCACAAATCTCTTTCATGAGAGATTTAAGCGATAGCTTTACTTTACCAGGGTATTGGGGATCTGTCGTCGGATTGTTTAGTTGAGTTTCTCACGCCAAAAGTTACAAAATTTCCTCTGAGTGACGAAAGAAATATATTTAAGAGAACATGTGATACAGTTAGAGGTAAATTATTACTAAAATAGTAGCAACTGATGAGGCACACACGTTGTTCACTGACACACGTTCTGCTTCGATGCCTGCATCATGTGACTCCGTTCAATGGACTCATAAGGTAAATTTGATTCAACTTAAATTTAAGGCAACCAGGATTTGTTTACAGTTTGGTTGATTTAGTTACTTGTTTTGAAAATTATTACAATTAATATTTCAATTGTTTTTGGTAAAAACAAACAAACAACAAAATCTATTGTTTAATGTTGTTTTTAACTTTAAAAGGTAGACAGCAGTTAGGAAACATTTAATGCTCAAGAAATGTTTTATTTTCATCATCTGTGTTGATAAAGGCTACAATTTTTTTAAAGATTCTTTGTTGACTAGATAGTATAAATAGTTTTAAATAGGTAGTAATTTAAATAGTTTAGATTTTTTAGATAATTTGGGGCACTTGTGGCCCCAGGTCACTGGTTCAATTCTGGCTCTTGACAAGAATTAAAGATGCGGCGAGTGAATGAACTGCACTCCCTCTATCTTTAATACCCTAGTGTCTGAATGCAGCCTTTATGATGCAAGCTGAGACTGCATCTCTGGACCTCCAGGAACAAGATTGGTGACCCCTAGACCAGGTGTGGGCAAACTTAATCCTGGAGGGCCAGTGTCCTGCATAGTTTAGCTCCAACCCTATTTAAACAGACCTCCCTATAGAGTTCAAGTGATCTTGAAGACACTGATTAGTTTGTTCAGGTGTGTTTGATTAGTGTTGGAACAAAACTCTGCAGGGACACCGGCCCTCGAGGATCAAGTTTGCCCATCCCTGCCCTAGACTATAGAATAAAATTAAATGGACTTTGATGAAGCTGATGTTACTGTAATGGATAGGGTTAGGTGAGCTCATTAAAAAGCTCTGGATGCAGCTTAGATTGCACAGACCCCTCTCAGCCAAGTAGGTATCGCTGTAGTCTGGAGACCACCAAGTGGTAGGGATTACACCGCAAGTAGGCTGGGTGACCTCTAAGTGGGAGAGACTTAAACCACAAATAGGTTGGGTTTAGGTAGTGTAAGTGGAGCAGATATTAATAAAACACACAGGTTGTTGTGAGGTTGGGTTTAGGGTTAGGATAGGTGTAGACATTCATAAAACACAATTTTGGACTCTGTGTCATGTTCAAGACATTAAATAAATAAAAACTCCCAGTTTGTATAGCCCTCTTGGACCTCAAAGGCCTACTTAGCGCTGGCTCCAACCTCCATTTACTGTATACCCTTCTCCTCTCAGCCTCTGAGCGAGCCACCAAACCCCTAATTGCTCCCTGTGAGTTAGAAGAAATAGCTGCCCATTGCAGGTGTATACTCACTGTGTGTGTTTGTGTGTGTTCTCACTCCTCACTCAAAATGTATGTGCACTTGAATGGGTTAAAAGCAGACGACTTATTTTGAGTATTGAGTAATACCATGCTTGACAAGGCTCACTTCACTTTCACTTTCAAATTAAAAGAACAACACTTTCAAATATACAATTTGAAATGCAATGTAACATTGCAATTGTCTTTCAATGACACTCTCACCTATATATATATATATATATATATATATATATATATATATATATATATATATATATATATATATATATATATATACACACACACATATCTATAGAAAACATTGATTTAAAAGAGAGAACTGTGAAGGGGTGTGCTTATTTATGCCACTACTGTACATAATACCTATTTTCACATTTTATTGGGTATATCTTTAAAAAACTAATATTGCACTCACATACATTAAATAATAGTAATAGCACTTATTAATAATCTTTCTATTCAATATTTATGTCCATTTCTTACATTATAGAATATTAAACACAGGCAAATAAATGCTCTCAAAACACTGAAGTGCAAGAACTTCTAGGTGGAACCTTTTCGGCCTAAGTGTTTGACAGACTTTTTCTCAGCCTTTCTTCTTGCATTGTCTTCTTCCTTTCTCCAGAGTTCCCGCTTTTTCCTCTCCACCTCCTGCTCGGTTTTGCAACGCACCACTGTCTCCCTCTCCATCTGCACAATCTGCTCCTTCCTTTTCTCTAAAAGTTTCTCCATCTTCTTCCTGATCTTCCTCTCTGTGGCTGGGTAGAAAGACGATGTGTAGCAGCTTTTTCCATTGATGGCTACCAGAGTCTCCACTTTCTTCAAAAGGTCTATAACAGACTCGTCGTTTGTAGCGTCCTTGTTGTTAAAGAAATGAAAGCCACCACTGCATTTATGGATGAATTCGCGTAGCTCTATGTCTGAACATGCAATCACATCATTCGCCGCTTTCCCCTCCAGACGATCCCCGTGAGTGAACACAATGATCGTGTACTGCCAGATTCTCTCCCCAAACATGCTCTCGATCAGCTTATGCATGCTTTTATCATCATTAGTTAAGTTCCCCACAGGCATGACCAGCAGAAACACATGCGGTCCTGGAGAATAGAGAGAGATGGACTTTAGGATCTCTCGGGTCACTTCTTTCTCAGTACTGCCAATTATATTCAGTCCCGGCGTGTCGATTATGGCCACAGGTCGACCACCGATGTTTCCAGATGCTTTGTCACAGAATTGTGTGACTCTGCTCAACTGCATGTCTGATTTAAATGCGTTGTACGCCAGGATGGTGTTTCCTGTTGAGCTTTTTCCAGACCCTCTCGCTCCCAGTAACATGATGCGCAGTTCCTCTGACACTGTCATAAAAAAAATATGCTTTGATTAATACAGATTAGGAGTTTAATATGATCAATCCTCACAGAAACTGAACAGTACATTCTTACAATGAATTGAGTTAATTTCACTCAAACATTTAAATCCCTATCTTTCGGTTAATTAAAAAAAAAACTGCTTCATGATGGGTGTAGAGCACTGCCAGCAGAGGGAGGAGGCTTGGCCGGCAGAGCAGGGGAAAAAGAGGGGCTTTAGTCAGTTGGCTCATGGGCTCAAGATAAAAATAAAAAAATCTGATACAAACTGTGAGGAGACACATGATTTTATAATTTACAAAGTTAAAATGCAAAAAAAATGAATAGTAAATAATTTAATGCCGTTACATATACGATAGGCTGTTCGTAATTTCATAATAATATCTAACCACAATTTGTTGTATCAACATAAAGATAATCGTGTTTATATAAACAAAATAAATGAGGAGGACTTCTCTCCTCCTGAATACAGTCAGTAATGTACAGTTATGAATACAGACAACGTGGATAGCGGTACAGCATGTCTCTTGTCCTATATATGCCAACCATTAGTCATGCTGGTAATCTGGAGGTTTTTCACAGTTGAACACAGCAGCACAGATATAGGCGATGTGTCTGAATGGTAACAAACTCAATTGATAAAAGACAAAGTCTGCTATACTCCAATTATTGTACAGCTCTCCCAGCAAAAATGCTTGCTGCACACAAACAGGCTGGCTGTATCGGCCCTGACAGCCGATACAAAGCCATGTAACAAAATGGATCATGGAAACAAACACATAAGAGCCTTCATGAACGGCTAAATAATGCATGTTGTGCACTGTCTCACAGTTTGGCAGATCTGTGGTCCGTCCATATTAGTCTGTCATCGGAAAGCATGTGCAGTCATGAATAATTAAAAAGCAGGGTCTTCTCATAGGATAAGAAAACTGTGTTATATGAATAACAATCAGTAATCAACGTGTCATCACTCTAATAGCAAATTCGTGCTACGCCACAATAATTATTTTAAACCCGGAAAATAAAAGTAGCTGATAAAAGCTAAAAATCATCCAGTTTTCCCCACCATTACACACAAATCTGTTAAAATCTCAAAAAAAGGTACTCTAGGGTGTCTTGAAAAGGGTCATGAACTGAGAAACCACATTTCCTCTAAATCTTTAAACATGCAAGTGCTTAAAGTACTAAAAAACTTCCTGAAAGTTTCAGAACGAAACACTTTATGGTTCCTCTAAAATCAGCTTATATTGTAGGCAGTCTACTAAAACCACAGGCTCTGGAATGTTCTACTTTATGATGTAATAGAGTGAAAAAGCTCCACCTCCACAGAAGATGAGCACCTACCTCTATTTCAAAGCCTGTTCAGCTTTGTTTATAAGAAAAACTGTTAGCCAATCAGAGATGTGTTTCAAAAAACCATTGTTTGCCAACTAAGGTTGCGAGATCCATCGTTACAAACATAGTTTATTGATTTGCTGTTTCCCAAATCCGTCGCTCCCATGAACATTCGCAAACTGCGTCACAAACTTGAGCACTCGCAACTACACCTCTGGAGCTGTACTTTAAAACATAGTTCCTAGCTGTGTTCTATTTCCACTTATCCCCCATATGCCCTATTCATTTAGAACATTCTAGCATTCAAAGTTGAAATTTAAAAAAAATAAAAAAGCATTAAGGTCATCTTTCTAATGTGGAATTTGCTTTCAAACTATTTTTACAGTTCAGTTTTAGCGATCTTCATGTTTACAATTGTGCACTCTTCGCAGTGCACTTTGAAAATATTGAAGTCATTTTGAACTCAGCCTCATGGCGAAACCTATAGGTGACCTATTATTTAAAAGCGGAATTTATGTTACGTCTCCAAAGCTTGTGAAAACAAAAAGCATATGTTAATTATTTTAATTTATAGTAGGTTATTTATTAAGTACATTATATGACATGGGCCGCTGGTTACTTTCTGCTGTAGTTTACAAGTGTCAAATTGTAAAAGTAGATTTTTCTAAAAAAATAATAATAATAATAATAAAAATTAAAAATATCTTACTTAATAATAATAATAATAATAATCATTAATATTATTAAAGTATATTTTTTCATTTCTAATACATACTAAATATTAAATTTCATTTCTTAATAAATCGCCTCTTTATTTATTCATTTATGTGATTAATATATGATATTATAATAGTGTTAGCTTTTGTAAGTGATTTTATGTTTTAGAATAGAAAATGTAATATTCTCAATAATATTTGTAAAGGAAACATAAGCCCTATATGTGCCATTTACATATATTTCAGTTAATATGGAAAACAAGTTTTGTTTTTACCAAATCTATTATTGGATTTTATTTTAAATGTATGTTTTTGTAAAACACACTTTTCTTCCTTCTTTTCTTCCCTCTTTTCTTCCCAAAAAGGGAAGAAAACACTTTCCTGAACGCTCGCGCTCAATCTGCCCAGTTGGTGGAATGAACTCCCTAACTGCATCAGAACGGAGTCACTCGCTGTCTTCAAAAAACGACTAAAAACTCAACTATTTAGTCTCCACTTTCCTTCCTAATCTGCAATTCCCTCTCTGACTCCTCCACTAACTACAAAAAAAAGAAAAAAAATACTGATGTTTTGCTTCTTACACTTTCTTTACATACCTGAAACTTGCCTACAGCACTTATTCATTGTTGCTCTTATAGTTGTGTAAATTGCTTTCTTGTCCTCATTTATAAGTCGCTTTGGATAAAAGCGTCTGCTAAATGACTAAATGTAAATCTAAATGTAAAACAATAAAACTTGCACAAAGAAATGATGGGGTTCTTCTCTAAAGTAGTTACTTAGAGCGTAATTTGGGTGTTTTACATTATAACTAACATGGTTCAAGCGATGGATATGCGTCAGAGAAACTATGCGTTTTGGTAAACACTCGTCACTACATCGTTCTTTTCCCAAATTATGCATCATACTATAATAGTTCAGCAGCGAGTTACGTCGTTGTTTGGGAAACGCACCCCAGAGCAGTGGGTGTTTACTTACACAATTGGTCACGTTCATGCAAACAGAGCTTTTTTGATGAGGAGGTCAAAAACAGCATAGAAAATAAACATTTATATTAAATTATGATTTTTTATATAATTAAAAAAATCTTGATTACTTTATAAGAAGACCCGAGAGAACAGTACAAAACATAAGGTAGTTCAAAACCTCTTTAAAAAGTTGAACTTAATAGAAACAAGTTACAAGAAAAAAATACTTTTTATGTATTAAGGCAAACTTGAACTGACTGAGTTGAAGTAGATTTCTAGTTCCAAGCATGCTTTGTTTCAGGAAAATAAGTGTTGAAATGAAGTGTTGTTCAATGTGTTTATCCACAAGATTAACATAAAGAGACATCAATTAGTCTGGGAATTTGCACTGTGTTGTTATTTAGAGAGGTTTCTATTGTGTTAAAGTTGTAGGATCATTGTAGTGAAGAGTACAGCCTGTGGTTTAGGTTGGGGATGTGCTGAAAAGCCATACTGCATATTCAACAACTATAATCATGTAAGTGTGTATGCATCATGTCACCACATTTTTGCAGTTTACACGAAGCTGATAATAGTAGCATTTTCAAAAGACATGCAATTTGAAACCTGTTTTTTTATGGCCTCAAAATGTTGATGTTGTGTGAGTGAACAGCCACATTGCACAGAAAGTTTTCTTGATTTAATTAGAAAATGTAGATTAAATTATATGTTCAATAAGTTGCGACAACATATGCTTTTTTACGTTAAGTGTAAATTAACTTAGTTCATCATGTTTCTAACATATTTTTTTCAATGTGTACTGTACATACACCATGTTTTAAGTTAATGTAATTTTTATTTCAAATGACTGAGAAGTTTAATTTGATTGCACTTAAAGATATAAAGCAACTAGCAATTTTTACTGTATATGCTATACGTTCCCTCCATGTTTTGCAGTTTTTCAGATATCATTTTAACAATACAAAAATGCAATTATAATTAAGGATACATTTACTTAACACCAATGTACCTATAAACTGGAAATGTCATTTTGAAAAGTTTTACTTAAAAACAACAATGTTGTCAAAATGATATATAATTTTCTCCAAGAAGAGTGTTACATTGCATATTGCAATAAACAATGTTAAGAAAAGAGATGTGCAGATAAATGTCTTACCATTTAAGTTTGTTGATGAATTTAAACTGGTTTCTGCCAGATTCTGCAAGTTTTCATATAGTTTATCGTGCGGTGCATCTGTTAATGAAAGACTGGGTTACTGTTTAAGTCCTTCTCTAAATAAAATCAGATTTTATGTTGACCATTTAGTTTCATTTGAAAAATATTGTGAAGAAAATCAAGCCATTATGCTACTCACAGCCAGTGGATGAATCCAGTACAGAATCAATCTCATTTTCAGAGTCAGTCCCATCTTCCTCAAAGTCATCTTTCTTTTCATCTGCCTTCATAATATCCATCTTACCCTGATGATTTTTGGATGCAAAGAAATTAAATAAAATTTTTATGAATAATAAAAAACACCACACTGCAAAGTATAATTTCTTTTGGAATTCTCAGTAAAACAATCTGAGTAAAATTTATTTACATTAAAGGATTTTTTTTTTTATTTGCATTTCCCCCCAAAACTATTAACCTCATTTTTATGCTGAATAATGCTTTAAGTTTATTGCTATAATGTGCAGCTTTTAAAACCGGAGCATCACACTGCAGAATATAAAAATTCCTTTTCAACTTTCTTGTCTGTTTAATAGTTAAAACACAATTAAATGTAAAGAAAGCTGCATACTATATTGTGTCACATAATTATGCTTTAAACTTAAATCTCAGATTGATGCTGTATGCGATCTCTAGCTTAAAAATCTGTAATCCCACCATGTTTGTCTTCACCCTCAAACTACTACAACATCAAAAAATAAGACAACTTACCACAGATGATGAAGTTTACAGTGTTAAACCTGTATAATACACACCTGTACATCGATGAGACGAACACTTGTGCGTAAAGAGTATGAAATATTCTGGTTTCATCTATGCAATGAAGACAGTTTTCTGTGGAAGATGTGTAGTACACTTCACACCAGTATCGACTAGTTGCAAGCAAGAGGGCTGGTCTTGTTGAAGGATGCAATGAATGAATTAACAGGTGTTTCACTGAGGCACAGGACTAGTTAAACATGTTAGTCAGGTAATATGGAGTAGCTGACATGTTTCAATAAAAATGCCCTTCCAGCCTCGAAAGTGGAGGTATTTCTTTCAAATCCGAGAAACTATAACTAAAGGATCTAAAAACATTTGAGAGTACACAGCCGAAATGTATGTTAATATGAAGCAGTCACTGTATTTATTTGACCGAGTCAACCACTAATGTACATGATTTAATATAGGACTAACAACAATTTCCTTGCTTTAAAAAAAATACTATTATAAAAAATATATAAATTTTATAGTCTACTGGCAGATGCCACAATAATAGTAAAGTCAGTGTGTAGTTTTCAATTGAGCTTTATAAACCATAACCACATAGAAACTAGTGGTAACCTTTTCGAGAAAGATTTTCCTTTTAACGTGTCCATTCAGTGAAACTAAATATAAAGTCTTTTGTTAGTTTGTTTTGTAATGTTGTGTGTGTTCTAAACACTGCATTTTTGCTCACAGTTCCTTTTTTCAAGTCTGAAGGAGCTGCTGTTTAGGTGTCTGATTGGCTACAGAATGTGAGGTCAAAAGCAACTTTTGTTCAATCGTCTTTGAGGAAATTTCTACACGCTTTCCCATTGGCTTAGGTAAACCCGGAAGTCGACTAGTCTATTGTTGACAGGGAAGTCTCATGCAGCTACAAATCTGAACACAGATATCGTGTTATTTGATTTTTTACCTAAATATATAAATCTTCCAGTGTCCAAGGATGGGATCTACAGACATGAAACTCATGGATGTCTTTTCGTATGAGAGTCTTGTACATGCAGTCGCCGGTGCGATGGTAAAAGTCTTTATTTGCTTTTGTGACCTCCAACTGCTGCGAGACAGCATGACAAACTCATCAAGACAAATACACATTTAAATAAATAACATTACACACAAAACTACATCTATAACTTAGCTCAATTATATCTGGAATCGTAGGGTTTAAAAAGCAACATATTAAATATAATTACATTTAAAGTTAAACAAATTACGTACTTCAATGCGTATTACTATTCAAAAATTAAGTTTTGATATTTATTGCAGAAATTGTATAGATGGAACACAATATACATACATACACACACACACACACACACACACACACACACACACACACACACATATATATATATATATATATATATATATATATATATATATATATATATATATATATAATGATTGTTTGGTTCAATAATTTTGACATATACAATGTATTTTTAAAAAAAGTGCAACTTGCTTTGTGATTTAGGGTCACATATGCACTTGAAAGTATAGTTCTTGATGTTACTCTACTGTATGTTTGCAGGGCAGTGTTACAGCAATGACTGTTTTCTTTCCCCTTGACACCGCTCGGCTCAGGCTGCAAGGTAAATCACATTCGTTTGTTTGTTTATTTCCCTTTCCCCCTTCTGTTCTGCTGATATTTATCCAACCATCCATCCATCCATCCATCTCTATATATGTCTGTCTGTCTGTCCATCCATCCATCTGTGGTGTTTTTTGTAATCGCTATTACTTCTGTTTCTGTGTAGTTGATGAGAAGCGGAAAGCCAAATCAACCCCAGCCATTCTTTCAGAGATCATCAAGGAGGAGGGTCTGTAAGTTGTTTTTTTTTTTTTATTCATATATTGATTTGTTCCTTTTCATTTAACCGTTGATCAATGACTGTGTACTCTTTGTCTCCAGGTTGGCTCCATATAGAGGTTGGTTTCCAGTGATCTGCAGCCTCTGTTGCTCAAACTTCGTTTACTTCTACTGTTTTCATAGTCTGAAGGCCACTTGGCTACAAGGTCAAAGATCAACAGCAGGGCGGGACCTTATTATTGGCATTGCTGCAGGTTTGCTTGTTAAAAAATACTGAATGATTTAAAACAGATAAAATAGCATCTATCTATCTATCTATCTATCTATCTATCTATCTATCTATCTATCTGTCTGTCTGTCTGTCTGTCTGTCTGTCTGTCTGTCTGTCTGTCTGTCTGTCTGTCTGTCTGTCTGTCTGTCTGTCTGTCTGTCTGTCTGTCTGTCTGTCTATCTATCTATCTATCTATCTATCTATCTATCTATCTATCTATCTATCTACCTACCTACCTACTTACCTACCTACCTACCTACCTACCTACCTACCTACCTACCTACCTACTCCATCCATCCTTCCATCCATCCATCTATCTATCGCATATGTTTTTATTTTAGTGCATTTAATTAAATGTGATTCATATGCTCTACTGATCAAAGGTTTGTAAAAAGGGCTGCATTTATATGATCAAATATTTTGTAAATAAACAATGTGATTAATAAATAATTTTAGAGTTTAACAAAATACTGGAGTTATGGCTGCTGAAAATGGAGTGTTGCCCTCACAAAAACAAATTACATTTTTAAATGTGTTAAAATACAGAACTGGTACATTTAAATATGTTGCTGTAATGTTCTTGCTGTATTTTGCATTAAATATGTACAACAAATAAATGTAGCATGACTATTTGACCGGTGTGCCAAATTTTAGAACTCGTATAAATGTCCATATGGCTGTAATCAGACGTAGATCCATCTAAATTGCAGTTAAACACATTCGATATCCTAAATATTCCAGCCTTTTGACCATACTTGTATTTTTTTTCATGTACATAGCTTCTGCTAGGATTAAACTTAAACCGTCTGCTTGCAGGTGTGGTGAATGTCCTTGTGACCACTCCACTCTGGGTAGTCAATACCAGACTGAAACTACAGGGGGCGAAGTTCAGAAATGAGGACATACAGCCCACACACTACAACGGAATCAAGGGTAAACAATAGCACAAATGATCAAATGTTTTTCATTCTCTTTAAATAAAACATGTGTCCAGGGAGGTAATCATCAAGTGATCTCTCTTTCTGTAGATGCTTTTGTGCAGATCATGCGTCAAGAAGGAGTAGGTGCTTTATGGAACGGGACGTTTCCCTCCCTGTTGCTGGTGCTTAATCCAGCCGTGCAGTTCATGATCTACGAGGGTCTGAAGAGGCAGATCCTGAGGGGCGTCCACAGAGAGGTCAGAACACACTACTGATCTTATAATAGATGGTGGATTTTTTGAAGAGTGGTTCATTACATCTCACAAAACTCACAGTTTGGGTCAATATTAGAGCTTTAAAACTGATTGTGATTACTTATGATAAAACAGTACGTTAATGTGAATGATAGGGCTATTTAAATGGATCGTTTACCCAAAAATGAAAATACTGTCATCATTTACTCCCAGCATTTATTCCAATTGTGTTCGAGTTTCTTATTCTGTTGTGCACAAACAAAGATATTTTAAAGAATGTTGGATATTGGCAGCCACTGGCTTCCATAGTGTGTTTTAATCTCATTGCTTTCCAGCATTCTTCAAAATATCAGAAGAAAGAAGCTTTGGAAACATGTCAGTGTGACTAAATGAAGAGATTATTTTTGGGTGAACTATACTTTTACATGCATTTTAAAGGTATTTATTTATTTATTTATTTTTATACTTTAATCTTGTCATTGGCCTGAATGACCATACTTGCTGTATTGCCACCTTCATTAGGTTTTCTTATGCCACTGTGCCTTCATAGTGTAACAGTTTTGTCCATCACACTTTTTATGTTATCAATATATTTTATAAAGAATATGCCAATATGCTCTCGTTCATGCAGTTGTAAAGATGCTTTAGTCTTTTTAAGTTCTACTGATCCTCTGCTATTTGAAATAATAATAATTTTATTGGATTTTGTTTGAACTTTAGAAAAAAATAACAGGAAAAAATACAAACTTAGTCTGAAACATCGAAACACTGGGAATCAAAAAAACATTAAAAAGGTAAAAATAAATTAATTACATAAATTCAAATAATAACAATACACACACTACCGGTCAAAGGTTTGGGGTCAGTAGGTTTTTAAATGTTTTAAAAGAGGCTTCTCCTGCTCGCCAAGACAGCATTTAATTTATCAAAAATAAGGTACAAATTGTGAAATATTATTGCACTATAAAATAACTGTTCAAATGTAGATTATACTTTAATCATTTAATCCAGTGATTTTATCCAGTGACATTCAGTCTTCAAAGTCACATGTCCTTTAGAAATCACTCGAATATCAATTATTATTAATATTATTATTAATAAAAGCAACAATGACTGGAGTAATAATTTCATTTGAAACTACGTACAATAAGAAAGCAGTTATTTAAATTTTAGAAAAATATTTAACATTTTAATTGATGTTCTATAAAAAAAAAGACATAAACTGACCCTAAACTTTTGACTGGTAGGGTATTTCAAAAATCGCTTGGAGTAAGCAAAAAATCTATTAGTTTGCACTTTTTACAGATTTACAGAGTATATATGAAACAAGCATAATTTAGATACTAAAGTTATATTTTCTTCAATTAATTTCCCAATCATGATAAGTGTCTCATTCCAAAATGTTTCGATCTCATTGCACTCCCGTATACAGTAATAAAGGGTACCTGTTTCTTCATTGCATTTTTTACAACTTTCAAGTATATTTGGGTTTCAGATATTTGTTAAACACATTGATATTTCAATAATGCATTGCTTTTTCCATATTCTTTAAGAAACTAAATGACTGTCCTACTATAAAAAGCAATATTGGCACTAAAACTGTTCTACAAGTTAATTCATAATTTGTTTATTTGTGATACTTTGCAATATAAAAAAGTAATTAATCAAAATTAAAATCAATACAAATAAAAATTAAAATAAGGATCAACAGGGATCTATTTAACCCCTATTTTATAATACACTCAAGTTCATAGTTTAAAACTTTTATCAAATTAAAGCCATTGCAGTAATATAAAAGCTATTATTTAGGAAAGCTTTTTATTCTCAGCAGATCTGATTATGATTACATATGATAAGTATAAACAAATGAGTCTATTCACAAAATCTCTGTCACCAGGAGACCAGGAACGGCAGCATTTAGGATCTTAAGGAGCTTGCAGAAGACAATTAGAAGTGTTTGAGTGAATTTGCTCATTCAAATCAGCACTCATGATGAGCGAGCATCTGTTG